CTTAGCAGTGGACTCCTTGATTCAAAGGGCATATGCATTTAAAATTTTGGTAACAGTTCCTGAGTCATTTTCTTTCTCTTTTTTTTTTTTTTTTTGAGAGTGAGTTTCACTGTGTTGCCAAGCTGGAGTGCAGTGGCACGATCTCGACTCACTGTAACCTTCACCTCCTGGGTTTAAGCGATTTTCCTGCCTCAGCCTCCTGAGTAGCTGGGACTATAGGCACGCATCACCACGCCCAGCTAATTTTTGTATTTTTAGTAGAGACAAGATTTCACCATGTTGGCCAGGATAGTCTCGATCTTCTGACCTCGTGATCTGCGCACCTAGGCCTCCCAAAGTGCTAGGATTACAGGTGTGAGCCACTGTTCCCGACCTCCCGAGTCATTTTCTTAATCTTGTTGCTCTAATTTCCATTCCCACTGACAGTGTAGACAGACAACTGTTGAGGGCTTGCAGTGTTCTTGGCACTAGCAGGATGGCATGTCAAAATTGTAAAACTCTGCCCATTTGATGTAATATTTGAAACTGGAAAGGTAAAATTCCAGGGACCCTAGTGACACTATAGTAACCTGATTGTACAGTGCCATTCATGTTTAAACCAGTCTTGGAGGAGAATGCTATAGCACAACTGTTTTTGCATCATTAAATTTATCCTCTTCTTTTCTGAGAACACAATATATATGAGAACACGTTCATCTGCATTTATCCTATTTTAATTATCGTTTGATGCTTAGAGCAGAAATTCCTGGACCAGCCCCAATTAGCGATAGGACCTTGGGTAAGCCTTTGGATCTATTTGTAGCTTCTGTTTCCTCATCTTTAAGGAAAAAGGTTGGATGGGATGGATGATCTCAAAGACCCACTGTTCAGTCTCTCTTTCTTATATTTTGAGCCATAATTGGGTCCCTGTGCATCAATTTCACATGATAGAATTTACTGTTGTATAGTTTTACTCTAACATATAGTACCTTGAGGTAGACTACTGATCCCAGACTAAGAATTATTGAAAATCATTCACCGTTGGGGACACGGGAAAAGGAAAATGGAACAGAAACAAAACTAATACATGTGACTCCGAATGTTTAAAATTAGATTTGATAGGTTGTAGGCTGGAGAAACTCAACCTGTTCATCATCTCTCATCTGTTCACTTGTTCTCTGTGTATGCCATTATATTGTGTTCCTCATTTCCCTAAGACGATGATTGTGGAAACTCAGATTTAGCACCAGAAACTGTCATTACCATTTCATTCCATTGCACCATTCATACCCTGCAGAGAGGATGTGAAGTCGTAAGGCCTTCTTGCTCTGGTGACCTCTTAGGCTTGGTCTCTGCGTCATCCCCCAACTCCCTGAGGGTTGATATTTGCTGGCCTGCTTCCCTTCAGGCCTTTCCTCACTTCACATCTCTGTGCAAGGATTTCATCTGGCATATCGCTAAATATTACCTTCCTGTGTTTCTCAAGGTCAATTTGATAGACTCCAGTTTTTGAAGCTGCTGGCCAGCTTGAGTGTATTCATACGTTATCTACGATGAATCATACCAGTTTCGGGGCCGGGAAGGTACTGAAACATATTGGCGCCTCACGGGAGGCTCTCAAAATGATCCAAAGTTTTTTGTTGCAGCAAAAGCTCATTCAGAAGTCTTTGGACCGTTTGGCTCAGCGGAGGCTCTCATGTGCCAAGGCTCCATGGGCATTCTTAGCTCTGCTTCTGGAGATAAGAGTTCATTCCTCCATCCCAAGTTGTTCTTCTCTACCCATTCTTCCTCTTCCTGCCTTCACTGCACATTCCAGGATTGCCATGTTCTAGAACATTCATGTCTGTCTCTTAGCCAGCGGAATGCTATTCTCACATCCACAGTGGGACAGCTAACAGCCCTCATTTATCAAATCCCTGTCATGTGCTGTGTCAGGCACTTTATATCCGTTATCCAGGAGGATGCAAAAACCTGGTGCTATTTTTTTTTTTTTTTTTTTTTTTGCATTTTACAGTTGAGCCAAGGGATGGCTCAGAAGGGTGAAGGAACTCACTCAAGTTGCGCAGCTGGTGAGCTCAAAATCAGGCCCCTTGCTTGGTCCATGTGGCTTCCAAACTCCAAGTCTGTCTGCTGCACCCCATGGCCCGTCTTTTCTACTGTGTTTAGTATGAGTGTTCATACTTTGCAGATTTTGCTTTCAAATTCTCTAGCTGTGGTTTGAGTGATTAATTTCAGGATCCATCCTATTTCTTAGACGAAGCCACTCTGGTCTACCCTATCATCACTTTATATTCAAGATATCCTTTATAGAGCTCTCAAATTACTTTTGGGGAGATGCAACTATTTAATAAAATATAACTTAAGTGAAAACACATTCCCTATAGAAGTATATTAAGAACCTATATGTAATTACTACGACTACTAATTATTTCATGGGAAAATGCCCTCCTGCTGAGATATTTTAGCTGCTCCAAAGTTAGAAGTAAGAAGAAATGAAAACAATTAAAATAGGATAACATGGACAGTACAGAAGTAAACCACTGTCTTAAAAGGCTAATCCATTTGGCATAATTAAAAAGAGGGAGGAGGGGGAGGCGCATCAGCCCCCATTCATGTTTAAATAAAGAAAATGGGACAGTGGGGCTTGTTCCTATGTTGTGGAACAGTGCACAGATGTGATCTACCTCATTCACATCCTTATGTGAATTATACACTGGTGCCCTCACCTATTAAGACAAGCACCTAATATTTTCCTGTGTATTCCAAGAGGCCAGTGTGGCTGGCAGAATAAGATGTTTTCCTGTTTTCAAGATGGAGTGGACTCTCTTTTATTTAGCAGCGGTGTCTGCATGTTAGGATTCCATGTGAGTTCTCTAAGTCTGGGACAATGATAGGTGTGTCTGATTCCTGCATTACCATGGTTAATTCTTTCCTTTACCCAGTATCTATTAGAGTCGGGCTTCCGTTGCTTTATTTCTCG